TGGCAGCCACTCCCTCCCACCCATGACCGCGGCCCACACCCCGCGCCGCCGGCCTGCAGTCCCTCTCCATCCCTGGGGGCTCGCTACCCCCACGCCTCCCCGGGGTCTTTGGTCACTGTCAGTTTAACAGATGTGCCGTTTGGAAAGGCCGGTTCCGTTTCATCCGAGCATCCTCACCTTGCACGCAGGATGCGCTCAGTAAATGCTGAATGCAAGAATGGATGATGGGCCGACGGATGGATGCGTACACTCGGGCAAGCACACCATACACTGGCCACCAAGCGGGTCACTGCGCCCAACCGCTCCTGGCAGTTTCGCGGGGTCCCGGACTAAGGCAGTGAGGAGGGGATACACCTGGTCGCCAGGGGCTCGCGCGGCCCCTGGCCGGCGCCGCGGAGCCCACTGGGAAGTGTAGTTCGCGCCTGCGCCCCGCAGGCCGCCGAGGCCCGGGGTCTCCGGGCGGAAGCGGGACCACCCCTCTTGGGAAGCGAGGCGTAGGGCTGGCTGCAGCGCTCCCTCCTCTGCCGCTTTTCGCGGTCCGCACCCCCGGCCCCGCCTACTCCCGCGCCTACCTCTAGATTTCTGCCGCCTGCGTCGCCGAGGGTCGCGCCACCACCTGCGGGTGGGGGAGCGGGTGCCGGGAACCGCGCCGGAAGCTGGGAGCTGAGGCTGAGTCCGGGATGGCGAACCAGGTAAGGCGCGCCGGGACCCAGGCGTGAGCCGGGCTGAGGCTGGAGGGGAAGGGACGGACGCACTCCTGGGCGGGTTTGCTCCTCCGAGCTCGGCGCGGACCCCGGGGGTAGGGCCCGGGACCCTCCAACTTTGGGATGGGACTGTACGGGGCCGCCCGGGCCGGGTGCGTAGGGTGCCGTGCGCAGTAGTCCGGTCCTCGGGCGACGCCTCCCCACTCCCCGCCCCCGGTATACACCTACAAGGAGCTTCTCTCCGCCCTTGGAAACTCAGTCCCTGGGGGTAAGCATCGCTCTTCCTAGGCCTGGCTTTTCTTAATTAATTGTAAGTTACCGGGAGCGGTGGGCATGAAGGCCTCAGGGGAATGAGTAAATCTGACACTTCTGTTCCTGTGCAGACACCTCGCCCCCGCCGCGGGGCGGGGGACACACGTTACTAGGGCCATGCCCTCCGCTCCCAGCTTTTATTCTTTAGGTAAGGTGTGTAGCACCGGGAGCTGAAGGAAAACCCTATCTGTCATAGCGTGGGCACAGTTCGGCAAGTTGTGTACGGATGCTAGGAAAACGGGGTGATACCCGTGCGGAGTTGCCACACGTTCTTCTTGGTGGGCTCCTGGACCTAGTTCTGTAGTTGGGGTTCCTCCTGAGCTTGAGCCAATCTCAGGCAACGGTAGACTCCGCGTTTGGGGGCGCAGCGTGGGGATTGGGTCTGGGGCAGGCTCTGCCCAGGCAGAGTAGTCACCATGCCAGGACCTTGTTATGAGTGCCTGGCAAATTCTTTCGAGGAAGGAACAGCAAGGCCTGCTGGGCCTTGTGGGAGCAGGGCCGCCTCCCTCGCAGCTCTGGCAGTCCAATTAGCAGTCCAAGGACACCCTTACTCGGATGTGCCCGCTGGCCCCGTGCCAGGGCCTCCTCATTCCAAGTTTCCTTGTCTATAAAATGAGGGGTTGGACCACTGATCTTTCAGATATGATGTTCTGGGAGGGGTGTGTGCTCACATCACGTAGCTTCATGGAGAAGCTGGCCAGGAGTGGCCTTGGGGAGCAGTAGGGCACAGAGAGATGGAGAGGCTCAGGGAGGGTCTCCTGTCTTCCCATCTAGCGCCACTCCCAAAACCCCCGGGGCCTGTGCACAGGCCCACAGGTGGGGGGCAGCAGGGTGTGATCTGGGAGCCCAGCCCGAGGCACTCTTGGGGGATGGGTCGGGCTGGGAAGGACAGCGAAGGATGGACAGGCCCTGTGTGCCTGGAAGCTGCGGTTTTCATGCTGGGCTAGTGGCACCGCGGAGGGGTGTCTCGGGAGGACCATGGCAGCAGTGAGCCGGTAGGCTGCTTAGGTACAACAACCCTGGGTCAGCCCAGAATGCTTCTCTCCCGATGGCTGAGGGAGGTGGTGGTCTGAGAGCCACAGAGGGGTGAAGTAGGGCCACAGAGGGGTGAAGTAGGGCCCGGGGAGGGTGATGGGTCCTGACTGCAAGGCAAAGGTGGGTTTCCTTCTCCTGAAGGTGAATGTTTGTGGCCTGCGCATTTTTACGCTCATTCTTGCCCACTCCCTTGCGCACGCACACTCCTCACTCCTCTGCTTTTTGGGGGCCGAGGGAGACCACTGACGGGGCCGCCTACCCAGGCCACAGTCTGTTTTCATTTCCATTTTATAAGAGCTTTGTCATAGAAGAGTTTGTCTTGAGGCCGAGGTGGTGAAAGGCCGGGGAACCGTGTCGCCCAGGAGTCTGGAAGAGCCAGGTCTGTCAGCCAGGAGGTGAGGCAGCGCGTGGAGTGTTGGGGAAAGAGCCCGTTCCGTGGAGCCGGAGGTGGCAGGCCATGACCCGCTGCTGGGCGGGCACTAAGCAGGCAGGCTCGGCTGCAGTAACACTGGTCACAGCTCTCCCCACATCCCAGCCTGTGCTCCAGCGCTCTCCCGTATTAATTAGTTTGATCTTCACAGCATCCCTGTGACGCCGGTTGCTGTGATCCCAGTCTTACCGGTGAGTTTGGTGAGGCGCCATCGCCACCCCGAAGCAAAGCAGGGGTTGGAATGCCCGCAGACTGGCCCCAGAGGACAAGCCCCAACCGCATGCTGCTCCCTGTCTGCCCAGGACTTCTTAACTGCCACACCAGACCAGTGAGGGGACCAGCAGCTGGGAGTGGGACAGGCACCCATCACTGAAGGCACTGAAGTACAAACTGACGAGCCACCCTGTCTGGGGTGGAAATCGGCATGAGACAAGGTCCACGGCAGCCTTCTGTGCTTTCTAGTTCACAAACATGCCACCTTGGACAGCTAGCGCCTTGGGGACAGCAGAGGGGCCAAGGGGCTGGGTCACCAGCATACTTTTCATTTTCAGGGGACCAGGCAGGTTCAACCTAGTCTCTACCCTGTGACGAACTGCATGTCAGGATCACCTGGGAAGTTTGAAAATGTCTATTTCTAAGCCCAGAAAGCACCAAACCACGATTTAGCAGATTTAGGATGAGGCGGGAAATCAGAAACTGTGGAGCACGTCATTTGAACCTCGAAGCCCTTTTGTTTTGCTGGTGATGTTGTAAGGAGCTTCTGATGGGAGAAGCTGAGGGTTCAGAGCATTTCCCCCTGGTTTACCGAGCAGGTGCTGTGTGCTGGCTTGAACTAGCGCCCCGGCGGAACCACCGCGTGGCTCTGCCGGCCCTCACTCCCGTCCACCGCGCCAGCCGGGGCCATGCCGTTTAGCCATGGCTACAGCGGCATTTCTCGTACTCAGGACTCTGACCCATCACTGCCTTGAGCCGATCTGTGTGAATGCTCAGCTTTAATTAAGAGGGATGGTAATGTCTGATTACAATAACCCCATGTCTGTCCCTACAGACCTGACCAGATAATAATAATTTTAAAAATTGGATGTTAGATGCTTGGTTTCTTAAGGTTCACTGATCTTAGTGTTACTGGTGGTTATCACAGTCAAGCCCGGGGAAAGGGCACCAAAATTTCAGCCTGAAGGCTCGAGCCCTGGACTTGGCCCCGAGGCCGGGCTGCCCACTCCGCTCACCGCTGCGCCCCTCTGCGCTTCGGACCCTTCACCCCTCACGCAGGACAAGGGTGTCCCCAGCATAGGGCCGTTTTGTTACTCAGACGGGAGATCCGAAGTGCTCTGAAACATGTTAGAGTCACACACGCCTCTGCTGATCTGCGGGCCCCCCGAGAACAGAGCCTGTGTGTGACACGTGTCACTTAGCAGCCAGCAGAGTGCCTTCAGCACGTAGGTGTTAAAGTTAGAGCGGGCGGGGGGAGAGGCAGATGGAGCGGAGGGGCTGGCTGGGTGCCTGGTGTACCCGGTGCGCGTGTAAATGTTGGGGAAGCTGTACGTGCTGGGGAGCAGCCCGGTGCCCATGAGCCGCAGCTCTCGTCAGCGGATAAGGAGGGGTCCAGGCCGGCAGCCGTTCACAGCGTGGCCCACATGCCATGGTCAGGGGCCGGGAGGGAGACGGCTAATGTCCCTGGTCTGGGAAGAGGCCCTGCGAGAAAGGTGGACTCTCCGTAGCACAGTATGTCTGTGCCACCGGCCTGCTCGTCCCTGGACTCCCTCAGACCTGCCGAGCTCGCTCAGTGTTGAGCATCAGAAGGCGGGGAAGAAGCGAGCCTGCAAGGGCATTCTGCGGGGTGCGTCCTGGGTGGGACTCTTGTGCGGCAGGAGCAGAGCCCCGATGAAGGTCCTTACGCCCCTAGGTTATGGTCGTATGGGAAGGGACTTACAGGACATAGAGAGCTCAGTCAACATGGCCAGTTCCTTCACACACCGCAGTTTCCCCTCATCCCCTGCCTTCACATGCTGCGGATTCCGTCACCCAGCTTCTGGTGGCCTCGGGCGTTCCTTGGCTCAGGGCTGCGTCACTCTCTGCCTCTGTTGTCACCTGGCCATCTCTTGTGTCCCTGTGTCTCTTTTTCTTACAAGGACTCCAGCCCTACTGGGTTAAGGGCCCACCCTACTCCAGGATGACCTTATTTTAACTAATTACACCTGCAGTGACCCTATTTCCAAATAAGGCCACATTCACAGGTACTGGGGTGAGTGCTTGAGCATCTCATTTTGGGGACACAGTCGACGCCCATCGCTGTCTCACGAACATGAACCTTCCTGTCGCTCCCTTGGCTGGCCCTGCGCGTCAGTGCCCAGCCCGCCCTCGCTGCGCCCCGCTCCCTGGCCGCGCCTGTGGCCTCAGTGGGGTGGAACCAGCCAACTGCCCGGAGATTGTGCCCGCAGGTGCCCATCGCCTTCCAGGACCTGGCCGTGCGGTTCTCTGAGGAGGAGTGGCAGCTGCTGGGGGAGGGGCAGAGGGCGCTCTACAGGGACGTGATGCAGGAGAACTACGAGGCACTGGCCTCCCTGGGTAAGGAGCCAGCCGGCAGCGCCCGGGCGCCTTGCTGGGGAGTGTGGCACAAGCCTAGCTGAAAGCGGAAGGGGGCTGGGTCCAGCAGGAAGCGCATCCGGAGTCTTTCTGGGGGCGGCTTTGGGCTGAGCCGGCGGCCTGGCTGATCTTTGATGCCATCGTTGTTTCTCTGGACCACACTAGGGTTGTAGGTGCGCTTTGGTGCGGGCGCTAGGGTGCTGGGGAGACACTGAGCAAGGTGGTTTCCCAGGCCCTGGCGCTCTGCTTGACCTGCGGCTTGGGGGGGTCCCAGGCACGCGTGTAACCTGGTACGTGGATGTGCGGGTGCCAGGGCCGCCTGCTTGCTTGCACTTGGGGGGCAGAGACAAACTTCCGTTCCAAGAGGACTGTCCCTCTTCTCTTTCTCAGGGACAGCGGAGCTGGTGCCCCTCTCTGCCTTCCTGTCTCCCGCGGAGCCTGGCGGAGCCAGAAGCAAAGCTGGTGAGGGACAGCCGCCCCTTGGGGGAGGTGTCCTAGGTGAGTAATCTCGTAGACAAAGGCCAAGCCCCTTTCTGTGTCCTGGTCCCCCTGGGCAGCCTGGGCCCGGGCGGACTCACTCTTGTCCCTTCCACCGCGTGGTCCTTAGCCCCCAGCTTCCTGGGGAGGGGCCAGGAAAGGCCGAGGGCTCGGGTGGCGGAAGGGGACAGGGATGCAGCCCTTCTTGGTGTTCTGCTCGGGGGAGTTACAGAGAGTGAATGACAGCGTACAGGACAGGCCAGTTACGCGGGGCCCAGCCCCCAGTCCTGGCGGTGCCCGTGGGCAGGTCACCAGGCCCAGGCCCAGGTCCTCTTCATCCCCCGGCCTCCGGTCTCCTTTGCTGCTGCTTGTGCGGTGGGAGGACGCGCACAGAAGTGTGAGCGCTGGGCCGGCGCGGGGCGCGGGGCTCACTGTGGCCTCTCCGCAGGAGGAGCGCCCCAGCACAGCCTGCATCTCACCGCCCTGGTGCAGCTCGTGAAGGAGATTCCAGGGTTCCTGTTTGGGGAAGTCGGCCCCGAGGGCGGGGGAGCCGGCCCGGAGGGGGAGCGGCCGGGCCCCGGGGGTAAGTGGGACGGCAGGGTCCACAAGGAGAAGTTCAGGCTGGTGCGCCATGCGCCTGCCCCGCTGTGGCCAGACCCTAAGTGGAGTCGCCCCGTTTTCATGAGCGCCCCGCGGCACGCCGGCCTCCACCACGTGGGTAGTTCATGTGACAGCAGCTCCTGACTTTTCTCATGGTGGTTTTTACACAGCCTCATCCACACTCTTGTGGCCCTGCCATGTTGTGCCCCACGTGGCAGGTGAGGCCAGCCCCTGTTCTGTAGGTGAGGGAGGGGAAGCGGTGCCTTGTCTGAGTGTCAGTGGGGACGCGGTTCCCCCTCCAGGCCCGAGCCCCTCCCGCCTCACGTTCTCTCCTCCCTTCCCTGTGCCCTGCTCACTCGCCCTTCTCTTCTCAGGCCTCACCTTGTCGGGGAGGGTCTGTCCCCTGCAGCCCGAGCCTGTAGGGTTCCTCTGAATCTGCTCAGTTGGTGGCAGATGGAGCAGAAAGTAGGGGTGGGAGGGATCTTGACAGAGCAAGACTGTGGCTGTGAACCGGCATTTTGGAGCTCGGGGTGACAGGGCGGAGCTGCCTGCCGTCCTGGTCATTGTTAGTGGAGCCTGGTGAGGAAGGGCTGGAAGGGACGGTATCAGGGGCACTTTACCTGCTGCTTCTGTTTCAGCTTATGACGTCCTCTCCCTCCTCCCGACAGCAGCTGTGACAGTGGACACTTGTCCCCTGCAAGGGCTGCTCAGCCGCCTTCCAGACACGCCCGTCGGCCGGCCAGGTCTGGCCACCACGCCCAGCGGTAGCTCATCGTCCAGCGGTTCGCCCGGAGCCGTGGGGCAGGGCAGTCCCCTCCCCATCAGTGAGTGTGACCCGGCAGGGGCAGGGCTCCATCCCTGGAGTTGGGGGGACTGGGCCCCTGCCCTGTTCATTTTCTGTGAGACTGGCTTCCCCTGTTGCTACGTGGGGACAAGCTCCCTGGGGCGCAGCACAAGCGCCGGGACCCTGTCTGTTGGCCAGAGAGGAGTGACGCTCGGCGCCAGTGGGGGCTGCGAGGCGCTGACCCGCTCCTGCGCCGGTGGGGGCGACCCATCGGCAGACAGCGTGCCTGCACGCACCCAACCGGGTGCTCGGACCTGCTCCTCGAGGCGGCCCTGGGAGCAGGGGGGCAGGGGCAGCCGTCAGAGTTTCTCCGAGGCCTGAGTTTATTTTTTAAAATTCTTGCAAGTGGTGCGTTTGGTTGAATATCTGTTTTTATTTAAAATATTTAAAACTAATGTGGAATAAAGTTGGCACTCCTGAAAAACATACCCCACTGAGCCTGTGGATTCAGGTGTCGCCTGGCAGATTCGCTCTGGGGGCCCCTGTCCCCAGGTTCAGGAAGCATGAGTGCAGAACGAGGACCTGCACGTTGAGACTGCGGCCATCACGTGCTGAGCCCAAGTCCAAGGCCGGACCTGGGGGAGGGTCCCGGGCGTTGGGAGTGAACAGCCTTGGTGTTTACAGCCACTGGGAGCAAACAGGGAAAGGACACCCTCCCCAGCCCCCGCTTCCCCAGGCAGCACCTCTGCAACAAGCCTCAGAGGGGCTGGCTCTGCGACCAGTTTAGGCTCCCATGACTGAGCTGCCCCCCTGGGATTTGGGGATGGGAGAGGCCCGTCCCTCTATGGGCACCTGATCCAGGCAGTTCCCTGGGGGCCAGGGCTGGAAGGACCTTCCTGTCTCTCTCGCTGCAGAAACTGCAGACACGCCTGGGCCTGCAGAGCAGGAAGGCCCTGGAACCCCAGGCGGGGAGCACAGTCCTCCCACCGGCAGCCCTGGCAGGAGGAAGAGCCACCGAAAACAGCAGAGGGGAGCCTCGGGGGCAGGTGAGAGGCTGCTGTCCGAAGAGCAGGGCCCGTGCTGGAGTGGAACGGCCAGCAAGCGGAGGCTTGTCACGGCTGCCGCCCTCAGGGGTGCACTGACCCGGCCGATCTTGCAGGGTCCGCGGGAGCCTCTCCGGGGAACAGCCCCCTGCAAGGCCTCATCAACTGCCTGAAGGAGATCCTTGTGCCTGGGCCCCAGCACCCTGAGGCACCCCCACGCCTGCCTCCTGTCCCAGGCCCAGGCCTGGCCCGGCCACCCAGGGTGGGGCTGGGCCCCGGGAGCCCGCCCTGTGGAGGTGAGTGTGGGGACATCTCAGGCCAAGATCGCTGAAGCCCCTGAAACCCGAACTGGCTTTCTGTAGCTACTTCCCTGTAAACGGAGTGTCTTTCCGAAGGACCGTCCTCAGCTTGGCTGCTGCTGCATCATCAGGCTCCTGTTCTGGGGCCGGGCAGCTTCCTTACGCAGCGTTGGGGCAGCTGGTGAAGAAAACTCAAAAGCAGACCCTGGCCCTGCGTGTGTTCTTTACCTGCCCCGATGTGGGACCGAGGGGGAGAAGGTGCTGAGTGAGTGTCGCTTCACCAAGTGACACCAAGTGGGGCACTTAGCGTGGGCTTGGGGGGTCGGGGCAGCATGGTGGGGGCAGGAGCACCTGGCCTGGAGTCCGACAGCTGACAGGCGACAGCACAGGTGACAGCTTCTGTCAGCTGTGCAGACCGAAGGCTCCCGAAGCCCTGGAGCCTGTTTGCCCATCTGTCAGGCGTGGAGTCATTGTTCCTGCCTGAGGGCTGCGTGAGGCCGGGCCCCGAGGCGCAGCGTGCGAGTGCGCGTGTGCCGAAGGCCTGGTCCTCCTCAGTGCAGGTCCGGCTCGGGGCCCAGGGGAGGGTCTGCAAGCAGCAGCCCGGCAGTCCGCTCTGCCCCCTGTGCTTCGCGTCACACCGTGCGCTCAGCCTTTGTCCTCCCGCCCCTGCTCTGTGCGGCTCTGGGAGGCATGGAGACTGGTGCCTTTCAACCCGCCACCAAGATGGCAGTGTCCTGTGCAGGGTGACCCACACCTCAGATTTCTGGTCCTGACCTCTTTCACCTGCTTACCTAGATTGTCCACTTGTTGTTTGTCCCGAAGACGGAGGACACGCGGCTCAGGGTGAAAGTGTGTTGCTTTTTCCTGTAGTGAAAACAGAGGCAGTGGCCGGGGGTTGTCCCCTCCAGGGTCTGCTGAACTGTCTGAAGGAGATCCCCGTGGCCCAGGACAAGCACCCCAGCCCTTCAGGACGGGGGGACCCATGGCTGCCAGAGGATCCAGGCGCCTGGAAAAGGACTTCCGGAGGTAAAGGCCACTGGCTGGGCTGGGGGGCCCTGGACGTCCTCCGTTCCTTCTGCTGCTCCAAGCAGGCCCATGGGTGACCCTCCACAGTGAGACACTCAGGCCACACGTCCGTGTGTTGCTCAGAGTGGCCAGATGTCCGGGGCTGTCACCATAAATGGAGCAAGTCATGCAGGAGGTGCTGCATCAGTTCATGGTCATTTCCCAGATTGGCTCTTAAAGTGGGAGCCAGGGACTCCGGAAGGAAGGGGTATGGAAGGAGGGAGACTGAGGGAGGGAGACCGAGCCTCAGCCCAGGAGACGTTCGGGCATAATGCGGATGCGGGGGCCCTCGCCTTGCCCGTGTGGGTGGGGGCGGGAGTTCAACGCGCCACTCGCCCGAGCTCAGCGGCCCTGGGGCGCTGAGAAGGCTGAACTGGGACAGGTGTGCTGGCCTCAGGGGAAGGAGCCTGCCTCGGTGCTGCCTGGGGCGCACACCCGGCCCCTTCTGTGGAAACCTCTAGAGGCGCCTGTGGGCAGCCCGGGGGAAAGGAGGCTGGTGGAGGGACAGGGTGTGCGTCGTCCTGTCTGCTGGTGGCAGAGCGGGGACTGCCTCAGAGGCGAGGCTGTGGTGGGCCAGGGGCCTTGGGCGCCCCGCCCTAACCCCTGAGGGCCTGATGGGGCCTTCCCACAGGGCCCAGGCCCCCGCAGACCCCTCCTCCCTGCCCTGGCGCTGGCCGCGTGCTCTCAGTGAAGATGGAGGACAGCTGGGCCCAGAGCCCCCCAGTGCCTGCATCCTGTCAGCTTCGCAAGCCCACCCACAGCCCCTGTGCCACCGGCAGCCAGGGGGGCGACAGAGACACCAGGGGGGTCCGAGTGCCCAGCTGGGGCCCCGCAGCTCAAGGTGAGGTCCGACTGGTCTGCTTGAGTCCCGAAGGGGGTTCTCAGCCCCCCAGCAAAGTTCTGCCCACACCCCCCACCCCGGGGAAGGAACAGATCCGGTGCGGGGGGGTCAAGCCGCCTGTATCAGGACAGTTAGTGCTCTCCCGGCGTCCATGCCCTCCTCAGCCCGGCCTTGCCAGGGAGGGAGCCCTCCAGTGGAAAGACCATCATTTGCTGAGGTTTTGTGGCTGTTGGGGTGCTGGCCACGCCCACGAGCGGGCCTCCCCAGCCGCCCCAGGACCTGGGGTTCCATTAGTGTTGTTCCCCCGGCCGAACAGAGAGCAGCTCTAAGTCCCCACAGGAGAGTGTCCTGTCTGGCAAGCTCCCTTGCCTGGTGCTGGACTTGTGGCCCCAGTAATAGCAGGTGGCAGGGGGGCGGGGGGGCAGCCAGCCTGGGGCCAGGCCCGGGGCCCTGCCAGAGACGGTGACAGGGCCATCTCCCCTGTCCCAGCCAGCAGTGCCTCGAGCTCGCCCCTGGAAGCCCTGGAGGCCTGTCTGAAGGGCATTCCCCTGAGCGGGTCGTTGCCTCCCCAGCCGCCGGCCCCGTCTTGGTTCCGGAGCCCCCAGCCGGGAGACCCCGGGTCTCCGAGGCCCGAGCTGCTGCCCCGAGGCTCGCACAGTCAAGGTAGACTTGGCCTTGGGCTGGGGGAGCGTTTGTCCCTGCACACGTGTGGGGCGATCCTGAGGACACTGATGTGTCCCCCGTCCTCGTCCTGGGCCCCATAAAGTGCAGGCCCTTCTGCCCTCCCTCACCCCTCCCCAGTCCTGCCTGCCCCCAAACAGCCCCTGAATTGGGTGGAAGCCAGCTAAGCGGCCCCTGCCCACCACCTCCTCCGAGAGCTCCTCCTCGCCCTCTAGCCCGGGGGGACCCGTGGCTGGGTCACGTGGGTCAGCGCCGGGAGCACCCTAACCAGAGGGAGGCCCCGTGGAAGACCCTCTGGGGCAGGGCTCCGGGCGCTGCCTGCCCACAGTGCAGGGCCCAGGATACCTGCTCTCCAGCGGCTGTCCCGTGAGCTGGCTGTGCTGTCCCCTGCAGAAGCGATGGCGGGACCTCTTCTGGCTCTGGGCCTGCAGGGCTTCGCCAGGGACGGCTCTGCCCTGCCGCCCGGGCCCCGCGGCACCCCCACCAGCTGCTCCTCGTCCAGCAGCACTGACGGGGACCTGGACTTCCAGAGCCACGAGGGCAGCCAGGGGCGCAGGCCTGGGAAAGGTGAGCTGGGCCTGAGGCGCGGGGTCGGCCCTGGGGAAGGATGGGGGCGGCCCACCCGCGGCGGTGTCCACGGCACGCAGCCGGGTCCCCACACACAGTGCTGGCTGCAGAGCTGGGCTGCCCAGGCAGGAGAGGCGCAGGGTGTGTTTTGGGTGGGGATACCTGTTTTAGCAACTTGGCTCTGAAGGGTCAGGACAACATCTAGGATCTCTTCAGAAATAAAAGGGGTCTTTTGTACTGTCAAGTCCTTCCTTATCCCAGCCACAAAGAAGTAAGTACCTGGGATAGCAGACTGGTCTCTGACTTAGGGAAAGAACCTCGTGACGTTCGCGTAAAACCACATTAAAGACTGTATTTGGTGACTTGGGTCTCCCGAGGTCCCTCCGCATTGAGGCATCCATGGTGAGCTGCCACCTCTTCAGAATCTTCCAAGACTCTCTCCCGTGTCCCATCTTGACCCTTTTTTCCCCCACAAGAATAACAGGCCTTGGTCTGCCTTGTCCACAGAGCCCAGCCCCCTGGGGCTCCGCTGTGTCCTGGCCCCACCCATGGCCCCGAGCTCACCCTGGACTCTGCACCAGGCGAGCTGGGGCCCACGGGACAGCTCTGGGGCCCTCCAGCGTCCACGTGGCCTGGATTCCGGCACCAAACACGGACCAGCCCCTTGCATGTGGGGACTTTCTCCTCCCAAAATGTAGCTGACCTGTCTTTTAAGTATTTAGCTCTAACCAGGTAATAGAATCACTTGCTGTTCTTCAAAAGCCACAGCAGGCTATGTAGGAAAGGCGACGTCTCCGTCCCGCCCTCCAGCCCCCGCGGTCCTCCCTGAGTGACCACGGCTGTGGGTTCTCGCCTCCAGAGCCCTCGTCCGCGTGGCCGCGCCTCTTGTCCCTCGCACAGACAGTGGCGTCCTGCACGCCACCTCGCTGCCCTGCTTTATGCCTCCACGTCGGTCTCGGACGTCGTTCTCGTCTTGGTGACCTTGGAGGGAGGCTAGCGGGGCCCCCACCATGCGGCAGCCGCGTGGTCTTCTCTCGCGGGGTCCGCACGTTTTTTTCTTCCTCTGTGGATGGGCCTCGTCTTCTAAGTAGCCAAGCCGCACGGAGGCTTCACGCTGCCTTTCCGGAACTTCCCAGCCCAGCCCCCCGGCTCTCCCTGTCGCTCCAGAACTCAGCAGGGCCCCGTGGGGAGCTCCGAGCTTGGGGTTCCTCTCATTAACACCTGGCCGCTCCGGCCCCACGTGCCAGCCCGCATGCAGGTGGTTCCCTTGCCTTGCGCCCTGCCCGTTCTGGCTTCAGCAGGCGCCTTCAGGAAAGAACGTGGCCAGAGAGGCCAGCTCCGGTGGAGAGGGCTCCTCTGGAATTTCAGCTCACCTAGTTCCTGTTGCCTCCACAGCTGGCACTAGAAATGTGATTTTTGCAATTCGGTTTTGTTTCCTAGTTGAACTACATTGGTGTTGGTCTTCCTCGACCTCTCCCTCATACCCCAGGGGGCGCCTTTAGCGTTTCCCTTCGTCCTCAGGGCCGCCCGAGGCTGCGTGGCAGCATCTCACACGGGTGGCCCTGGGCGGCCTGGCCCTGTGCCTGCAGCCCGTCTCCCTCACCGCAGCTGCTGGCCTGACTTCCCAGGAGGCGGCGAGGTTGGCCCAGCCCCAGCCGGGCCGCCCAGAGCCAGGACCGACTCACGCTTAGGGCCAGGCTCAGCTCGGGTGCCCTGCCCTGCTGCGGCAGGGCCAGTGCTCTGTGCCCCTCCCCGCAGCCCCATGGGCCCAGCTGCCCCAGGTGCACAGAGACCGAGCTCTGAGGAAGGCTGCAAACGTGGGGTTTTCACAGGGATCCCAGTCGGAAGTGCCCCCCTCCAGGGCCTGGAGAATTGTCTCAGAGAGATACCTGTGCCCAAGTCACAGCCTGCCTGGCCCTGGTCCTCGGCAGGGGACAGAGAACCCCGGAGAATGGAGCCCAAGACCTGGACAGCAGACAAGGAAGGTAAAGCACAGTTGCCCGGGGTTTGGGAGCGGGGAAAAGGCGTCCCATGCTGGCGCCCTGGGCGCTGCCTCCCCAGTCGCCGGTGGGCCCACATCCACCCCTGAGATGAAAAGACGCTCCGGGAACCACCCAGGCAGAGGCTAGCGTGTGGCCAGAAGGCCAGGCACTGCCCGCCTGCATGTAGCGGTGCAGCCAGGGCCGGGCACTCGGCTGCTGAGTGCAGGCTGAGCCTGGCTGTGGCTGCGGCCACGGCCGTGGATTTTCGCGTCGTGGCTGTGCTGCCCCTGTGCCTTGGTGTCTGGCAAGTTGCTGAGCTCCCAGGAGTCCAGGTGATGGTCTGAAAAGACCCTGGAGGATTTGAGCAGCCCCCGGGCACAGCAGGGCTGGGGTGTGTGCCACCCCTAGAGCATGTGTGCCCAGGGACGCAACAATGACAGTTGTCTGTCCAGCACAGGGCTCCGTGGGGCTGACAGGCCTCTTGGCCTCTCTTTACAGCAGGACTGAGGAGCGCAGTCTGGGAGACAGTCCACCTCAGGAGGGACACGCCCACCAGGAGCCTGTGGCCGGCCAGCCCGCAGGCCCTCTCCTCCAGCAGCGCCCCTGCCTGCTGCCAACGAGGGCTTAGGGACCACGCGGCCGCCAGGCCAGGACCCTGGAGGTGGCTCCCAGACGGTGAGCTGGTGCCTGGCCCTGGTGCTTCCGGCATGTTTTCCCTCCCAATAAGTCTGTGATGAGGGACAAAGTTTCCCTTCCTTCCCTGTCCCCCTGTCCCTCCCGTCGCACACCCGTTCCCTAGGCCACCAGCCGAGCACAGGAGTGAGCACAGGGCCCTGATGCTGGGGCCACTTAGTTGGACCCGCCACAGAGCCCTGCCCTGGGCCTGCCCTGGGCCTACATGAGCGCAGTGTTAGCGCTCCCGCTGGGCAGGCGCCGGCTTTGGGGGCCTCCTGCAGGCTCGCCTGGGTCTCTGCTGTCGGGCGACTGGTCCTGAGGCAGTGGAGTAGGAGGACCCAGGGCCTGGCTGGAAATGACTGCTCGTGGCTTCCAGGGACTTAAGACTTCTGGAAAGTTCCCCAGCTGGCCTTCCAGAGGGGCCGAGGCCTAGCTGGCCTCTGGCCTCACTTCTGTACACCGTCACGGCAGAGAGGATGTTTGGAGCCACCAGGACGTGTCTGCGGGCATTGACAGGGGCCGTGTGCCTCCCTGTCAGGCTGATCCCCAGAAGGGCCTCTTGTTGTCCTCTGCCCAGGGGCAGCCTCCACGCCCTCCCCACTTCACTGCCTGGAGAACTCTCTGAAGGGGATCCTGCCCGGGCGGCCCCTGCGCTTCGCCTGCTTGGCTGGCCCTGGCCCCAGCCCCAGCCCCGGCACCGGCTCCAGCTCCAGCGCTGGCTCCAGTTTCAGCAGCTCCGAAGGAGAAGACCCGAGGCTGGAGCCTGAGCTCTGGCAGCCGCTCCTGCAGGGTAAGCCTCAGGGGCAGAGGAGGGGCAGGGAGCTAAGCCCCAGGCCAGGGCCTGCGCCCTGACTCCAGCTTTGTGATGCAGAGAGGAACCCTCTTCCCAGCAGCAAGAGTCCCAGCCCTCCGACCCCACGCCCTGGCGGCCCCCCGGCCGGCCGCAGCCCTGCTGGAGGCCGCAGGGGAGCGGAGCCCAGGGAGCACTTTGGTCTCAGTGCAGGTGAGCTGGGGTCTCCTGAGGGGGGGCGTGTCCCCAGGGCGGCCGCAGCTCTGGGGCTGGGCTCTCTGAGTCTCACCTGTCATTTTGCCCAACTCTTGCCAGAAAGTTCTCTACATTAGCCATGCTTGAGTTCCCCATGAGATGAGTCGTGTCTTAGAGAGCAGTGGGGCTGCTAAGGCACAGAGGGTTCCAGAAGTGTTAAACGAGCATGTTTAATTAGAAAGCCTGGCAATAAACTTAATAGGTATGGGTCATAATGCAACATATATAACATGTACACATTGTATATACTTAATGATGTATATACATCCACACACACGCTCTGTTGTATGGCCCGGCCTCTGGATAGCGGTGCCCTCAGTGAGGGTGGCCTGGGGCATGCACCCCCGCGCTTCTCAGAGTGAGCCCCACAGACGCCCCCGTCTGGGCCCGGCTCTGGCTGGGCCACCTCGTATGACCGCAGGATGCACTTCAGCCACGCCAGTCGAGCACTTTGAGGAGCAGGACTTGCTACTCACAGGCACGCTGGCGGGGCACATGGCGGGGTCACGGGTCGGGGGAGAGCGCATGTGAGGACGGGGCTCCATCTCTGTCGCTGTTGTGGCGGGGTGTGCAGGGTTTGGCAGGTTCACTCTTTATTGGCTCATTTAAAACATAAGAGTGGGTCAGGACACAGGAAGGGAGCGGTGGGGGTCACTCACGTGGTTGGGGTCCCTCTGATGGCCAGTTATCTAGGTCGCCCAAGGCCGTCTGAACGAGGGGCCCTCATGGGGTGGGGGGAGCCTGGCTCCTTCCCTGTCGTTGACTCTCACACCCCAGCTGTGTGTTCGCCCCAGGCGGCCGTCTTTGGAAACGGATGCCTTAGCAATCCAAAGCTTGGTGTCAGGGACTTTGTGTGTCAGTGTATGTGTATATAAGGATAAAAACTTAGATTTTAAATTTGGCGATAAACATGAAAGTGTCAAAAGTGAGATTCCTCCACCTGGGAGAGCTTAGAGGTTGTCCGGTCAAGAAAGCTGGAAAGGCCACCTTGCTTCCCAGGCCGAGCCTGGCCGGGCCTCTGACCCGGCAGGAAGACCAGAGGGGAGGCCTGCGGCGGCGGGGAGGCGGGGAGGGGGGGGCGGCGGCCCGCCCAGCGAGAGGTGTGCTTGTGCTTGGAGGCCGGGCCGGCCGGCAGGGGCAGCACTCAAGGGGGTGGGTGGGATGATTGGCCTGGAAGGGGCTCCCTTTGAATTCAGGCTAGTGGCCCCATGCTGACCTTTGTCTCTCTGCTGGCCCAGGCTGTACCCACATTCCTCACTGCCCAGTGGGGTCTGGTGGCAAAGAGCCCAGTGGGCTGGACACGGGCCATACAGTCCCCTGTGGCCCGCAGGGCACCCCCAGCCTCTCCCCGCGGAGCTCGCTGCGGGGGCGGGGGGGCCTGCACATCACAGCCCTCCCCGCCTGCTGTCTGGTCCCAGGCCCTGGCACAGGCCCCAGTGGGCAGTTGGGCCAGTCAGGCTCCCCAATAGACTAAGTGTGTCCACCTTGCATCTCATTTAACCCTTACTTGAGAGTTGCAAGTTCTATTTTTTAAGGTCGTGTCCAAATAGCCCCGTGTTAGAACGGCTCTGTCAAAACAGCACGTGCACACCCCGCGCGCGCGTTCTGTGCTCTCTTCGCAGGGGCCGCTGGGAGTCTCTGCCCCGCCCCTTGGCCAGAGAAGAGGCCCGGGCTGGGGCCCTGCCCGCCTCCGGGGTCAGCCCCTCAGCCCCTGTTCCGGAAGCCCAGGGTTGGTGACGAATCCGGAGGCCCGGGCCCTGGACACAGAGGACCCAGCGCTGCAGGTGAGCTGGTGGGCTCCCCGTCCCCTCAAGTTGTCAGGAGCCCTGCGGGCACAAGGGCGGGCAGGGGTCAGCGTCTGCACGGCCACCTCCGTGCTTCCCGCTGCTCAGCCCCTCACCGCAGGGTCAGCTGGGAGGGAGAAGTTGTCCTTCATGCCCTTCCAGCCTTGTCTGGGTCACAGGTAGGAAGAGTCTCACCTTGAACTCACCTCAGTTTGCTTCTTTCATTTCAGTATTTTCTCACAGAAATGGCTAGCTTTTTCATAAAACCATAAATGCCTTTCAGAGGCAAAACAGAATTGAGTCTTGTACCAGAATAGATACACCCAGAATCAATGTTTGGAGCTTGAGTGGACGTCAGAGAATAGAGGAGGGCATGGAGGCCTGGTCCCGCTGTGTGACCTGGCCGAGGGCGAGATGTGACTCCATGTCCCCAACCCGGAGGAAGCTCCTCCCTAAACCACATTAGAGACACAGGCTCGGCCCCCAGGTCCGCTCGGATGCGCAGGAGACCCCGCACCAGGCTGCACACGTGGCCTGCCCGTCCGCTCACAGGCCAGTCCTCGTCGGTGTGGCTGCCTGGTGGGAGCCAGGCCGGCGGGCACGTGCCTCCCTCCCCTCGGTCAGAAGTGATCCTGCGGCGGCGAGGCCGCGTGTGCTGGGCTCGGGTCCTTCTTGGACTCGCCCGCGTGGCAGTGGGGTCTTGGAGCCGCGCAGCCTCACTCTGACTGCAGCCCTGAGGGCTGACGAGAGCAGGCCTGTGCCGCCGGCCTTCCTGTGCGATTTCCCTGAGGAGGAGACCAGTTCCAGGGGAACTTCGGGTGAAGGATTAGGGGATTGCTTTTTAAAGTAATTGAAGACTTAACACCCCCTGGATCTATAGCTTCTGAATGTGAAGGACAGAAGTCAGGGTGGGGGGAGCCCATCACCCCAGCCCCGGTTCAGCCTGACCCGCCTGGGCCCTCTTCCCGCCGCTGCCCACGCTTCCCCAGGTCCCGCCCCTGGCTCCCTGGGGCGTGTTCAGGTGCCATTTGGTCCCAAAGATGGCACAAGAGCCTGCTGACCATTTTCCTAGAAAGACCAGTGGCCTAAGAAATCTTAGTTACCACAGAGACCCAATCTGTGGTGTATCCTGCTCATGAATTTGGGGTACAGTGGGGAGACCTGGCCACTAGTGATGTCCTGAGCATTGCCATCAACATTCTCAAGCCCAAGTCAGTTCTCCCCTGGCCAGAGCTGGGCCCCAGAGAGGCAGGACGCTGACTGCGCCGGTTGGGGGGCGCCCTGGGGGAGAGGACGGTCCCAGCAGCCTGAGACTCTCCCCCCAACCCCGCTCTGGTTTCAGCCAGGACCGAGGAGAGGCCACATCCCGGAGGCCTGCCTGAGCCGGCCCCCGAGGCCACCGCTTCCCCCGCTCTGCCTCCTGCTGCCCCGCGGCCGCCGTGTCCCTGCGGGGGCTCCCTGCAGCAGGAGCTCCGTGGCCTCAGCGCCGCCCTGGCGGAGAAGCTGGAGCGGCTCGCGGCTGCCCTGGCTGGCCTGTCTCAGGAAGTGGCCACCGTGCGGGCCCAAGTGGGTCAGCTCGGGAGGCGCCCGCAGGGCCCTGGGTCAAAGAGCCGGGCCTCCTGGCCGTGGGCCCCCCGCCGGGGGCCTCACTGGGCGCACAGCCCGGCCCACAGACACCTGCCACACCGGAGACAGAAGGGCCCCACCAGGCCGAGACCAAAGATCCTGCGCAGCCAGGCGGAAGGCTGCAGGGCTGGCGAGGCCGCAGGCCTCTCCCGGGGGGCGCTGCACCTGGTGCCCCAGCTGCCTCCAGGAGCCCCCCAGGCAGAGTCGTCTGGGACCAGCTCCAGCCCTTCCCAGCAGCCACCGTCCTCGGCATTCAGCCGAGCTGGGCTCCCAGTGCACCCCCCGCTCAGACACACGGGGGGCCCCCAGAGTCCCCCTGCCCCTTCTGCGCCTGCTGCTTTCCCTCCCCAGATGGCCTCTCCTGCCTCCAGGGCAGATGCAGAGCCACCGGCCGCAGCGGCTGTGCCCACGGAGACCCAGAGCTGGCCCAAGGATGTAAACGGCCTGTTGGCAGGGGTCCAGAGAGCCCTCAAGGAGGAACTGTGGGGTGGAGAACACAGGGACCCGCGGTGGGTGGCCCCTAACCGCCTTCTCCATCAGCTCGTCCCTGAGGACGCCCTGCCCCCTGTCGCCTCTCCCAGGGGCCAGCCGGCCCCCACACGCCGCTCCAGCCAGACCTTCCCTATTCCTGGCCTGTGAGGGCTGGGTGTCCCCTTTGGCCTGACCGCCCCAGACTCCGAGATGTGTTTGCTCAGGGGGCCGCCACATGGGGCGTGCTCCTCAGCCACGCCCGTCCTCGGCTCAGGTTCATCCAGGCGTTGCTCCCCTCCCACCTCTGCCACCAGAACTCAGTGGCGGGCACCTCTGCACAGCATGCGTGCCCAGGGGGCCCACAAGGCCCCTCTTCCTGACCCTGCCCTTGCTGCTCTCAGTGCTGGGAAGGCAGCGGCTCTCGCCTTCCTTGTAGCTGCAGGCAGAGATTTCGTTTGGGGAGAGTTCCACTCCTTGGTCCAAGTGAGATGCACCCATGTGGATTCTAAAAATCGCAAAGTTGGAAGCTAAGGGAAGGGCCCTTGGCAAAAAGGGGCTCAGTGGGTCCACAGCAGGGCATGGCTGATCAGTTGCCAGTCCTGGGACCAGCTGGCATCGGGGGGCGGTCAGGGGCACTGGGAGCCAATCCATCCAGGTGGTCCAGATCCAATCAGACTGTATAGGAAGTTCGGAATTTTTTTTTTTAAGAATATGGAAAATAAGTTATAAAATGAATGGTAAAAAGCTTCGTGGTTCTCAGCTACGTTGATCTCACAGGTCCACGGCCACGCAAACCAAAAACGTTTACAGTCATTCACAGCCTTCCAGCTTCACTGGTTGGGAAGAACCTGTGTACAGGTTAGGGCTTTGGGCACGTGTCTCAGCTACTTTATGTGGAGATGGCACTTCGGTGGGAGAAACAGGGGCCTTTTTGAACTCAGGAATTTCAAGGGTTTGGAGGTGAGGGGCACAGGAGGCACTCGCCCTACCTGTCACCATCCTGGCAAGTAGCCCGGAGGACGGTCCCTGGCCAACCTGGGCACGGGCCTTCCTCCGTCCATGCCCCATCGGCCACCCGCCAGCCTGAGGCCTCTGTAGGCGGGAAAAAGAAGGTCCCGCTTAAGTCTCGGAATCAGAGCATAGGCCCACAGGCTCCTGGCCACTCCTGAGGAGTCTGCAGCGGGGTGCAGGGCCCACAGTGGGCTGCCGGTGACACCCCATCATGTCACAGCTGTCTCCAAAAGGAGCTTGGTTCATTGACTTGACCCTCACCTTCTGTGTCTTTGTGTTTTAGATGTGGCTTCAGTAAACAGCTTGTAGTTGGATTTTATTTTTTAATCCAGCTTGACAAAATGTTTTCTTCTTACTTGGAGCCCCGAGTCCATTTCCATGGAGTAAACTCACGTATTTGGATTTGAGTACGCCGTCTTCCTTTCTGCGTGTGTTTATCCCGCCTGCTCGGGGGCGCTCCCTTCTCTCCTGCCTTCTGTTGCAATGGCAGTGCTGTGGGTTCTGTGTGTTACGCATTCCATTTCCCCTGCGCCGACCGCAACCTTTAAAGGACTGAAAGGAAAACATCCAAATTTACAATCATGTTCGGGAGATTGTAGGACACCTTTTCCAGAAATTGACAGAATAATGAATCAGGAAGGCTCTAGAAGATTTGAACAAGTCAATTAACAAAACTGGCTCAATCGATGAACATATAGGACCCTGTTCCACAGGCCTACAGAATATATATTCTTTTCAAGTTAGCGCACAACAGCCACAAAAAATGACCATGTAGTAAACCCTGGAGCAAGCTTAAACAGATTTGAAAGTATACTGAACATGTTCTCTGACCATACTGTGGCTTTTAAGCTAGGAGCCAATTAAGAGATGTTTTTTCATGTTGGAAAAGTAAGGATTATGCTCTTAAATAACCCACGTGTCAATGAAGAAAGGGAATATTTTTAACTGAACTATAAGAAAGTACATCTCAAACTTGGAGGATAAAGCTCAATCAGGACTTAGAAATGCATGGGCACAAATGAGTATGTGCAAGAGAAACCCACAAGGGGTATGAACAACGGCAAAGGGAATCCAGAAGTTGAGGGAATGGAAAAGTAAAAGCAAAAACTAGTGAAATAGCATCCATATATTAGATATAATTAAGAAATCCAAAAAGTAACAAAAAATGGAATTGACCTGCTTGTGGTATAATTCACCAAAAAAAAAAACCAATCTCAGGAACAAAGAAGGTGACCACCTGCTGCTACAGCCCATATAAAAATTAAAAGATGACATTTCAAGCAACTTTGCCAAAAAAATTTTTTTTATCCTCACCTGAGGACATGCTTACTGATCTCAGGGGGGAAGGGAGGGAGGGAGAGACACAGCAATTGCCTCTCATATGCGCCCAGAGTGGGACCAAACCTGCAACCCAGGCATGTGCCCTGACCAGGAATAAAACCAGTGACCTTCTGCCATGCAGGGCAATAACTCCAGCCAACTGAGCCACACCGACCAGGGCACTATTGGTATCTTTTTAAGTTTCCAAGAGATTCGAATGTGTTGAGAACCATTCTTGTTGGCAAAACTGTAAAAGATTATTTTGGAGCTTTTCCCTGTTTCCCTTCAGCCTTTTCTCCCTACTTAACACAAAGAGCTCCTGCATTGACCCATGACCAGCAACATCTCACATATCTGTTTCATTCTGGAGAGGTACAGAGCGCCGTGCCTGTGCTGGGGGCTCCAGGGGGGCTCACCCACCTTCACCAGCTAATGGAAGTTCACCGCTGAGGGCAGGGTGCGGAGGGACAACAGAACCCTAAAGAAATGGAGGCAGGGCCCTCAACGGAGTAGCAGGAAGCTGCATTTCTAGAATTCTGATTTAGGAGGGAAGAGCTGGGATCTGGCAGAAGAAAGGAGCTTCGGTTCCAGCCTGGGCGCCATATGCAGGGGAGGACCAGCAATTACAGATCCAAGCTACAACCAGGATCTTCCCGGGGCTGAAAGGAAAGCCAAGAAGCCATGAACTTGGCTCCTCCCATTCCTCAGCAGAACTTTAAGGACCTTCTCAAAGGTCTTTAGGGGTCTTGCACAGGGAGTCATTCTGTGTGTGGTTCCTGGCGAGGGGACAAATAGGTACACGTCTGTCACCAGATTTCTCTCCCTAAAGCAGAGGTCGCTGTAGGGAGGGGCATGGAAGCAGCATCCTTCGGAGATGCTCCAGAGACCGCAGAGTCAAGCCTTTCCCCTAGCACCTGGAGCAGGCCTTGGCCTCACCAAGCACCCTTGCCAGGCACCGCTTTCTCCCTCAGCACTTGGTCAGCCAGGCTGGGCTGCTTGCTGCTGCTGTGGCCACCTGAGCCCATGCACTTTTCTTGCTGTTCTTCCTACCAGAAATACCCTTGCTCAATTTTCACATTTTATTTGACAAAGTCCATTTGAGCAGCAAAGTCCGAAGTTGGTGCCTCCTCCCTAATCCCTGCAGTTAAAAGTGGTAAAGAAGACAACAATGCCAGCTACTATTTGTTAAGCACCTACGGTGGCCAGGAATTGTCGAAAAGATTCAGGTGAATGTGAAATCCTGGAAATAGCTGACACGTGGTAGGCCTCCCAGAATATACTGCAGAATCTCAAAGCTGCTCTTACATGAGAATTCCAGGACGTTTGGAGAAACAAACACTGGTAAAACCCCCATCAATGTTGTTTTGTGTTTGATTTTGGTCGTCTGAAAGGTGACACCTTTAGCTGGAATCACTAGCCGAGTGAGAGTGACGAAAGGCCGGGCAGCGCCTTCAGAGTGAAGCCAACGGAGTGGCGAGGGCTTGGGCAGGGTGCCCGCCCCTACCCCTTAGTCCAACGAGACCAGTGTCTGCTCAGCCCCAGCCACAAGCTGTCAGTTCTTCTGACTTTTCATGAGAGAAGCTGGAAGTCGAGATTTGTATGTGAAATACTCAAGCATTTAAAATACTGCTGGGGCAACACAATGGTCCCTGATTACTGTCACACTGTCACATTCACTAGGACCACCTACTCATTTGTAGCCAGGAAACTCAGAACTCACTGCATTCACGCCCCACCCCCACCCCCCAGTCCACATCAACAGTCTTAGTGTAATGAGAAAGCAGAGCCCCAGGAAATGAACACCCTGCCCCATGTCCTCCAAGAGCCACAGGAGGGCTCCAACCCAAGACTTCTCACTCCAGGTGCAACTCCTTCCCATCACCCACCCCACCCCCGCCCTCTGCCAGCCAGCCCGCCCTCCCTGCTGCCCCAGCTGGGGAGGCCCAGCCACAGCGATGTCTGGATCAAGCACCCATCATGAAGACAACTTGGGGGAAGGTAGCCTGAGAATGAAACGTCATGGACTGCAAATGTCCTTCCTTATGGTGCCAGGCAGGGTGGCAGGTGGGCTGCCTGACCAAGGCCCCCTTGGGAGAGCTGCAGACAGAGGCAGCAGCTCTCCAGCTCCAGAGCCCTCTGTGGCATGTCACGTGTCTCCACGGAATGGCCAAAGGGCACCTGCCCCCTCCCTGTGCATCCCCCACAGTCCCAGCCTTCAACACCTGGCATGAGAAATGTACACTAATGTTTCTTCGTCAAATTTCCGGGCTGGGAGCAGGGGAGCGGTTAGCAACCCGCTGTCTTAATTCTTGATTTGGTAGAGTGATTACCAGCCCCTGGCTAAACAGAGCTCACCCAGGGAGGAAAGGCAAGGCCCTCTGCGTGGGGGTCAGAGCCGGGGGTTCCCTCCCCAGCTCACTGAACCACCCTAGAGCCTTCAGATGTTTATTTTAATGACACTGTAAGTACACAGCTAGCCATTCTGTCCCTACCCCCAAGAGGTTCCTCACTTCTGCAATCAGGGGGGTCCAGGAAATGTCTGCTTTCCAGTGGGTTTTCTTCGTGGGAGCCTTCCAAGGACTCAGGCCTGAACTGTCCCAGCAGGAGTGCACTCAGCACTGTCTTTGTCACAGAATGTCAGAGCTGGTATTCTTTCCAGACTTCTCCCGGGCAAGACGGAGAGGGAAGGACAACCACCTGCAGGGGGCCCAAGCCATCTTGCCGCCGGGCTCACCCGCTTGGACCTGGGTCTCTCCAACTAGGGAGCAACAGAAGGCCAAGGAAGGGCCGGACGAGAACGAGACTCAGAAGAAGAGTGGGGTGGCTGCCACCTCCGTGGGAGTGGGCCAGGCTGGGGCCGAGAGGTCGGCGTCGGAGGCCAGACGGGCCGCTTCGCCGTGGATGCGCTGATGCCGCACTAGATGGGTCTTGCGGCTAAAGCTCTTGCCGCACTGCGGGCAGGAGAAGGGGCGAGAGCCCGTGTGGATGGCCTGATGGCGGACCAGATTGGTTTTGGAGCTGAAGCTGCGGGCGCAGATGGCACAAGCGTGTGGCCGACTGCCCGTGTGCACCGCCTGGTGGCGGCCCAAGTGAGACTTGCGACTGAAGCGGCGGCCGCACTGCGCGCAGGCGAAAGGCCTGGCGCCGCTGTGGGCCCGAGAATGGGCGACCAGGTTGGGCCGGGAGCCGAAACGACGGCCGCACTGCGCGCAGGCGAAGGGCCGTTCGCCCGTGTGCACCCGCCGATGTCGCGCCAGGTGCTGCCCGTGGGCGAAGCCGCGTCCGCAGTCCGGGCAGGAGAAGGACCTCTCGCTGGCCGGAGCGTCCTGGGGCGCCGCTGTGCTTCGGTGTGCGCAAGCCAGAGCCTCGGCGGCTCCGGGGTCCGCGGTGGCGCCCAGGGCGCACTCGTCGCATTCAAAGGGGCCCCCCTCGCCGCGGTGCAGACGCTGGTGCGTAGCGAGGTTCTTCTTCCAGCCGAAGCCCAAGCCGCAGTCGGAGCAGGCGAAAGGCTTAGGTCCGGGAGGGGACGGGGTCGGGGACGGGGCAGGAGAACCTGGAGAGGCGGGAGCGTCGGGAGACAGCGGGGAGCGGCAGGCCGCCTCGTGCACCCTTTGGTGCCGCACCAAGTGCTGCTTGTGCGTGAAGCTACGAGCGCACTGCGCGCACTGGTAGGGCCTCTCACCGGTGTGGATGCGCTGGTGGCGGATCAGGTGCGTCTTTTTGCGAAAGCGCTTCTCGCACTCGGCGCAGGGAAAGGGCCGCTCGCCCGTGTGCGTCTTCTGGTGCGAGCCCAGGTGTATTTTCTGGCTGAAGCGCTTGCCGCACTCTGCGCAAGGGTAGGGCCGCTCGCCCGTGTGCGTGCGCAGGTGGCGGGTGAGGTGGGCCTTCTTGCTGAAGCGCTTGTCGCACTCGGAGCACGGGAACGGCCGCTCGCCCCGGTGGCTGCGCTGATGCAGCAGCATGTGCGCGCGCTGCGTGAAGCTGCGGCCGCAGTCGGGACAGGCGCAGGGACCCTCACCGCGGTGCAGCCTCTGATGCAGCCGCAGGGTCAGCTGGTCCCGGAACCGCCGCTCGCACTCCCCGCAGCCGTAAGGCTTCTCTGCGGCCTGAGTCCAGCCGGCCAGCGCGAGCCCGCCTAGTGCCCCTGGGGCTCCCGGTTCCAGTTTATACGCCGCAGCCAGAGGCCCCAGGTCAGGTGCGGGAAAGGGGCCGGGCAGTAGTGATAGATGTTGCGGCCACTCGACCTCCTCTTCCGCCTCCTGATCCTCCTCCTCCACCTTCACCTTCCGAATCATCCACTCGTCTCCTGAAAAGTCAAGACAAGATGTCTGTTAAGCCCCACGTTTATTTTTGCGACGTTTATTTGCCAAGAGACCACCCCTGCCTGGAGCCCTGCTGGCTGCCTTCTGCTCGGTACACTCTATGGGAAGTGGCCAAATCCGAAGACCACTGCTCAGTCCTTCTCCTTCCTGCTGGGCAGACAGGACACTGGGGAGGCGCCTTCTTGTAGGTTTTCTCTGAGGCCGGCCCAACTGCTGAGAGCACTTTCCCTGCATCTGAGTATGAAGGTTGCTCGAGGTTTGGTCCTCAGGCTTCAGAACTCCGGGTTCCGTGGCCACTCTAGGTCTTCCTGGCCAGCAGGCAGGCAGGCCCCTTTCTGGAACCCCAGTCTCTCATGCTCAGTTGAGCAGCTGCCCTCTGGAGTCCTGAAAACCAGCTGCAGCTCAGCCTGCTTATCACCAAACACCTCCCTTCCCAGACCTACCTGCTTGCTTCGCCGTGAGGCCTGCAGCCGCCTCCTCCCAACTGCTGGGCTCACAGTCCTGGGGCCTTGGCTCCCACCTTTGAGCCTCCCCTGCTCTGACTTTCCAGCAGGGGACTTGGTGTTCCTTCCTGCTCTCAGCCCCCTCCCCTGGAGCTTCATTCTTGCTTCTACAGCCACGTGGGAAACCCCAGTTCAGAAAGAGGAGGATCCTGCGTACAGGGAGCCCCTGAATGGCACACACCTCTAGCAAGGCAGGGAGGCCTTTGGGGAGTGGGCGTGACTGGAGCTTGGCCTCCCGTGGGCACTGGAATGGCCCAGCCGAGAAGAGGCTGAAGACCCAGACCCAGAGTGTCCCCTTGGGCTCTCTTCTGTCACTAGCCAGCAGCATGGCCCTGGGTAACTTACCTCTCTGAGTTAAGTTTGTTAGTCTGCCCAAGTGTAAGGGTTGGACTAGTTCATGGTTCCTAAACCTGGTGCCACACGGTAACTCCTGGGGAGCATGTATGAAATGCATCGATGGGTGCGGGGCATATGAATCTCTTCCCGTTCTTCAAAGCTCCCAAAGTGATTCATTTTTGAAACCCATTGAACCAGATGACTGGAGTTCCTGTCTGGATCCTAAGGTCTGTAACAGCTTGTGCGTTGGTTACATTCCACAAAGACTGCAGCAATTACATCTATCAGTCTCTTCCACCAGACCCATGAGTTCCAAACAACTACTCATTCTGTTGTGATGCTTTCATTTCTACTGGGCCACTCCTGTAGGCAAACCCATCAGTAGCTCCCTATTAGCAGGATAAAGGAAGTTCTAGCTGCCTCTGAGGTGCACCCCAACCCAGTGCAACTTGCTGACTCCTCCAGGCACAAGCCCTTCGCTTCAGCCAGGCTGGTCTGCTCTAACTCCAGTTGCATGTCAACTTCCCTGCCTTGAAGTCTCTTCTCGGCCTAGAATGTCCTGCACCTTACACCTCACCCCCATCAGAGCTGAAGCCCATGCTGTTCTCAAAATGCAGCACAAATCAAAACCTTTGACAAATCCAGCACACGAGGATCTCTTACACGCACGCCTATAGCACTTACTGTTAACACTAACTTGTCACATGGCTTTATTGCTATTTGTGAACTTTTTATTCTAGCTCACATTAGTGTCAACTAAGTATTAGCTTCTGGAGGGCAGACATCTTGTGTTCTATTTCCTTATGTGTCTAGTAAAAAGGTATCTTCATGTGTCTAATAAAAATGAGGATGGCCACCATTTGCCGAGTGCCAACTATAGATGATGTACTATGTATACATTGTGACAAACCTTCGCAAAAAGCATGACATTTCCAGGTGAACAAACTGAGGTTCCCGGAGGTGAGGTAGCCGATCCAGCATCACTCAGCCAGGGAACATGGAACCAGGATTCAAACAGGTCTCTGTCACCTTAAAGCCCATCTCTTTCAACTCTACCTAACAGACTGGACCTAGTAGGCACTGAAGTTGTTCTTGTGGAGCCCTGGCTGGAGTGGCTCGATGGATTGCGTGCTGGCCTGCGAACTGAGAGGTCACCGGTTCGATTCCCAGTCAGGACACAGCTTGGGTTTCAGGCCAGGTCCCCAGTTGGTGGCAAGTGAGAGGCATCTGATTGATGTTTCTCTCCCTTTCTCCCTCCCTTCCCCTCTCTCTAAAAATAAATAAATAACATCTTTAAAAAATAAAGAAGTCCTTCTGGAAAAATGCCACGGCTCAGGCAGAAGATGGTAAGGTTGGTGGTAATGGAGGGAAGTGATGAGCAGGACTGTGGGGAGAGAATCAACTGTTGGATGGCCCTGGGCAGGGGGAGAGGAGGCAAACAACAGATTTGGAGCATTTGGGTACCACCGAGATCAGCAGAGATGTGGAGGAGGGGGCATTTCTGGGGAGAGCCAGTGAAAAGGTTGGTCAATGCCATGTATCTTCACAGGACTTGTCATCCAGGCTGTGGACAAGTCTACTTAGACTGGGAGAATGGAGGGCAAAGTTAGGACTTTGAGAGGACGTTGACCTGCTGCCATGACGGTGTGTTTCTCTTGGTGACCAGCCTCTCTGACTTCCATCGTCTACGGACGCAGAATTCCCTCCAGGTGCCGGAGCTCTACGAGCAGAAAGGTGCCAGGGCCTGGTTCATCTTGTGTTGGAAGGGCCTAGAGTGGCGGCCACATCAGACAGTGGCTCTGGAGCTTGCCGGGCCCCTGTCCCCTCCACCTGGTCCCCTGCCGGGATGGAGCGATGGGAAGACTCACCCGGGCAGGAGCCCGCAGGCTCAGCCTTCCCTGGTATGTGGTCCTGGCTTCCTCCGCAGGGAGCCTCAGCCTGTTCTGTGGGGGCGCCTTCCTCCAGGCTGGGCGCCTCGTGCCCTGGCGGAGAACAGGCCACCTCAGGCCACCGCAGAGGGTGGCGCAGGGGGACGCAGGGCCCCATGGTGCTAGGGAGCCAGGGAGTTTGCAACTCCACACCCAGCCCCACAGGTAAGGACTGCACCCAGCTCCCGGCTTATCTGCAGGGGCGGAGTTCCCAGTGCCCCAGGAAGCCTCAAGCTCCTTCAAGTAGGGCCCCTGCGTGGTTGCTGAAGCCACAACCGTGAGGACTGTCTGGAGTATGTGTGTGTCAGCAAGGACAGATCCTGCCCCTAGGCTTACGGGGGTGCCTTAGACGAGGGCTAGGGACCTCCCAGCCAGCCAGATGGACCCCCACTTCCATGGCAAATCACTGGAGATCAGGGTGTCAGAAAACCTAGCACACCCCTCTCCCGAAATGTTTAGCCCCCTCCCTGTTTCAGGTCTTGCTCAGCTCTTACCTTCCCACTGAGGCCTATTCTCACCACCCCGCTTAGGCTTGTTCTGCCCCATCCCCACCTCAGGCCCCTTCCCCTGGTGTGTGCCCCTCCCCTGCCCCAGCAGTATCCTCTTCTAACCCGGTTTATGAGTGTACTTGTTTTCACATTGGCTGGTTGCTGACTCCCTGCCCTCGCTAGGATTTCGTTCCTGGGAGGCAGGGGGCTCCACCTGCTTGGTTACTGAGGTGTTCCAAAGATCTAGAATGGCACCTGGTGCTTGGCAGGCGCTCAACAAATATTTGAGGGACAAAGGCAGGCTGTGCCCTGTGCCACCACCCAGGGTCCCCGCTCACTTACCCGGACAGGAGCCCAGCGCTCTCTCTGGCCTGGGAGGGCATATCTGCTCCTGGGCATTGTGGGGCCCTGCGCCAGGCTCACTGTGGGGGGCCAGCTCCCGCTGTGCCACAGAGAACCCTGTTACAGGCAGAAGGGTGGGTCCAAGTAAAGCATCCAGTACAGGAGAGATGATCCAAGGCAGGGGCTCTTCCCCTTCCATGCCCACCCCAGGAGCTTTTCCCAACCTGCTCAGGAAGGAAGTCAGCATGGACAAGGGACAGCCAGGCTCCCCAGCAGTCTGGCCAGGTGTCAACCTCAGCCCCTTGGTGTTGAGGGGACAGGTGAAGGAAGGGTAGAATGGATTAAATATCCTGGTGCCCTGTTGAGTAGGTGCGGGGTGGGCCAGGCAGTCACAAACACCCAGGTGAGACCCAAAAGGACACTGTCTGGAAGGTTCTGGGGCTCTCGGGTGTCTTGGGGATTGCCATCTCTGAGGATGGCTCTGTCTTCTACATTGTGGAGAAGCAACCAGTCCAGCAGGCATCTGCGTCCCCACCACCCACCCCAGGCTCCTTCAGTCCTGCTGGCTCACCCAGGGAGCTGAGGGCCTCCAAGGTCTCTCTCATGGCAACCCCAGGCAGCTCCTCCTGGGGATCGGGCCTCACACCCTAAGGAGAGAACACAGCCTTGCTCAGGTTCTTCTCACGGCAGGTTCACCTGGGCCCTGGTCCAACCTCTCCCGGTCACCAGCTCCCCTCTGGAGCTCCAAAGGTGGTGTCCCCAGGTACAGGTGAGGGAAATGAGGGAACGGGGATTTCAGACAGCAGAGATCTTGACAGGCGGCCCAAGAAGATCGGGAAGCCACTTCTGGCCAGCTCCCAAGGTCCACTGCTCCCCGCACCTGGCGGGTCTCGCGGGACCAGCCCCAGCCTGTCGGGGCTCCTGCCCCCGGGGTGTCAGGGATGAATCGATTCTCTGGGCAGAGGGTGCAGGGTGGGAGACCAGGGAGGGGAGCGAGCACAGCATCTCCTAGGCCCTGCAGCTGTCACTACAGGAGCTGGTGAAACAGGAGCCGGCGGAGGGGCAGAGGTGAGTGTCACTATTGGGCAACTGGTGGGGGAGGCCCTCCAAGGAGGGCAGGAAACGGATCTTGCTTCCTCCCCACAAAACCCTACCTCAACACCGCCTCCCTCCCAAGGTACCCCCACACCGCCCTCCCACCGCCCCCCAACCCCCGGCGCAGGGCTACCCCCGCCACTGCCAACGCCTCCCACCCCCGCCTCGCTCCTCCTCCAGCGCCCTGCCCCGCCCCTCTTCCAGCGGACTCCCCTCCCCCCAAATCTCTCTGGCAGCGTTCCCTCTGCCCTCCCTTCTCCCGCTCCCTCTGCCTTCCGCCCGCTTTCCCCGCTGGATCTGGCTGGCTCCCCAGCTCCGCCCCTGCCCGCAGCCGGCGGGCCCTCCGCGCCCCGCCCCTGCCCCCCGACCCCCGCGCCCGGCAGCGTCCGCCGCAGCGCTCCCCTCCCCCTCCCCAGGCTCCCGGCGCCTCCCCTCCCCTCCGGTTCTGCCCGGCTCCGTCCCCTCCCCGGCGTGCACCCCCTCCCTTCCTTTCCCCTCCTCCTTTCCTTCCGCCCCGCGCCGCCCCCTCCCGCCGTTCTCCCCCACCACGATCTCCCCCCGCCGCCCTCTCCTCCCCCACTCCGCTTTCCCTTCCTCCTCCTTCATCTCTGCACCTCTGTCCCTCCCTCCTCCCGTCTCCCCACACCGCCCCCGCCCCTCCCGCCTGCGGCTCTCCTTCCCCTCCGAGGCCCCCGGCTCCCTTCCCCCTCTGCCTCCCCGGCTGGCTCTCGCTTCCCCTCCCTCCGGGCCGCGGGTCCCCAGAACAGCTCTGCCCCTCCCCCTCTCAGTCCGCTCCCCGAGCTCCCCCGAGACCGGGGCCCCGCTAGTCGCTCGCTCCGGACTCTCTTCTCGGCTCTGCCCTGCCCACTCCGGCCTCCAACTCACCTCCGCTTCCCCTCCCCTCCCATCTGCGGCTCCCTTCCCCATTTCTGTCCCCCGCTGGCTTCTTCACCCCCCTCCCAAGTTTGCCCGCGGGCCCGACCCCTCCCGCCCCACCTCCCCGCCTCGCGCGTCCCGAGCCGCTGCGCCTGGAGCGCACCGCACGCCCCGGTCGCTTCCCGGCTCCCCGACTCACCTGTCAACACCCTCCCCTCCTCCCCACGGGCCGGTCCCCGCGCCGGGTCGTCCTTTCCCCGCTCCCTCCCACACTCCCTCCCCCCTCTCGGGAGCCTCCTCACTCTCTCCCCTCGGAGCCGCTCACCCCGTTCCCACCGGAGTCACCCCCGCCCCTGTCCCCAGCGCCTGCCCTATCTTCCAGCTCCCCGTCCGTCACTTCTTCTGACAACCCGGCCCCCCCGCCCCGACCAGGTCCTCCCCCTCCGGTCTCATCCCCTTGCTCCTCCAGTCCGCGCCCCTCTTCGGCCCTTTCATTCCCTTCGGCCGCTCCCCACCCTTCCCCGCGCGCCCCCACCCCCGGGCTGTCACCTGCGCGGGGCGGGCCTTGACTGAGTGCCGGTGCGGCCAGGGGAGCGGGCGCAGCCGCCGACCGCTGGGCGTCTCCGGGGCCCGTACCTGGCGGGCGGGCGGGCGGCCGGGTCTCCCCGCTGCTGCCGGGACCCCGGCGTCCCGGCCCCCGGTCCCGGACGGCTCTGCTCGCAATGGCGCCCGTAGCCCGCAGCTCGGGTGCGGATGGCCCGAAAGACTGACAGACTGACAGCCCCGAAACTTCGCGGGGAGGGGAGAGGAAAAGACGCGGGGGGAGCGGGAGCGGGGAAGGGCGCCCGGCTGGGGGAGGGGAGCAAGGAAGCGGGAGGGGCGCCGCGGGACGCCGGTGGGGGAGGCCGGGCAGGGGTGTCCTGGAGTGGGCTCGCGGGCGGGCGGGCGCGGCGGGGGCCGGCGGGCAGGTGACGGTCGCGGGAAGGCGGCCGGGGTAGGTGGTGGGAAGGGGGAGCTAAGGATCGGGGGAGGGGGCGAGGGGGCAGGGAAGGGAAGACTGTGGGGGGAGGTGAGGAGGGAGAGTAGGCAGGGAGGACGAGCACTCGGGCTGCTGGGGGGTGCTCGCGGGCGCCGGGGGAGGAGCCAGGGGAAAGGTGGAGCGCGGGGCGGGGTGGGGGAGTGAGGAGTTGGGGGGACGCGGAGGGGGCGTGTTCGGGGAGGGGAGCCAGGGTCTGCGCTGCTGTCTCGGAACCGCGAGTGCCCGCGGGAGTGTGTCTGCGCCGCGCTCCCGCGGCGGGGTCGTCTCCGCTGTCGGCCGAAGGCAGCGGCCTGGGGAACTCTGACCCCGCCTCGCTTTCCACCCGTATCCCACCGAGAGCCACCCCGACCCACACCTTTCTGCCCCGAATCCGGCGATCTGAGACCTGGCTCGGGAGCCGGGTCCCTTGGTGCCGTGGGGTGAGGCCGAAGGAGTCAGGGCTGGGCCCCTGTGCCCTGTGCCAGGAGTGGGCCCTTCGAAGTAGAAATTGGGGGTGGGGTGGGGACTTTGGGCTCGGTGACTGGAGAGCGGCGAGGCTGGAGAGGAGGCTTGGGGCGGGGGTGGGGAGGGGGTGGCGAGGTGCGATCGCGCTGGGCGGAGACTCTGAAGGCGGGGTCCAGGTGAGGGGCTGCGGGGAGGAGTTCCCTGGGCGGGGTAGAGGGCGGGCCCTGTTAAGACGCTGGAAAGCTCTTCCAGTCAGGTGTGCAGGGGTGTCCTCAGCCCTCAGGCCCGGCTTCTCCTTGTCCCTGTCCGGGGTTATGATGTCTCTCTTCCCTCTTGATCACCTGGGCACCTCAACTCGTTCTGAGAGTTCCCCACTTCCTGTCCTCCAGAGCTCAAAGGGGGGCTGGTTATTCCAGGTCCCCCCTCCCTAATCCTTTCCTTCAATCTCCCCTGGGTTCCAGCTTCCTCCTTCCTGTCCCTGTAGGGGAGAGGGCGCTGTGACTCGTTTCTCCCAGTCCCTGTGCTGCCCTGTCAGCAGTGGTTGGGATCCAGAGCTGGGGGGCCGGGCGGATGGCCCTTGGAGCGCAGAGCAAGGAGCCCTGTCGTGCATCGTCACAGGAGGGGATGCCAGGGGACAGAGAAGTCTGGTGCACAGCAGGCGCACCATCAATATCGTTGATGTTTAGGGTAGAAAGAGAGGCTCTGGATCAGGCGGTGCCTGCACGAGGGGTCACGGCGTCCCTAGGAGTCAGCTGTGAAGGTTTTTCTCTCCCCCCGGTGAGCTGCTGATTCGGGGAGTCGGTGCCCAGCCTTCTCCTGGCGCTGGGAGCACGTGTCACTGCGCTGGGGCAGGGTGCTGGCACCCGAGTCTCTCCCTGCGAGACCTGCAGTGGGAGTGGATGGAGCGAGTGAGGCATGAGGGAGCGTCCGGGTGGACACATGAGACCGGGACCGGAATGCTGTCCGCGCCCTTTCCAAGGACTTTCCTGAGGAAGTTGCAGCACCTCTGTTGGTCCCAGGACCTGTGCGGGGCCCGAAGAATTGCCTAGTGAGACTCTGGTTCCCCGCAGCCTCCTTACCCCAAGTTGGGTAACTACGTGCTTTGCCCGAAGGGACATCAGGTTTCAGGGCTGGGAAGAGAAGACCCTGGCCACGTCCCAGCCTGGGTGTACTGGGAGCTGGGAACCAGGATGCAACAAGGATCCCCCTCGGCCACCTGCTGCTGCCCCTCCCAATGAAACGGATGCTGGGGATTATCCCGTCTGGCTGCCTGGCCCCCAGGGCCCCTCAGTCTCCTGCCACCCCACTCCCCACCTCCCACCCGGGCACCCCTCTCTGAGGCTCTCATTCCCAAGCCAGTTCCTGGTTCTGGACCCCAGGGACCCTAGGCGACCGTCAGAGGAGAGCAGGGTGCACCTGGGCAGCGCACCTAGTCACCCCAGTAAGCAGTGGGACCGTGGGGTAAAGGGCACAAGCCATTTCCCTGTGTCTGCACGGTGCAGCCTCCCTGGAAAGGGGTCTGTGGGCTCCCTGGCCCGTGCCTCCAGCGTGCCTGGTGGCAGAGTGGGTGGGAGGCAGGGCGGGGCGGGCAGGGGAGGGAACCTTGAAGTTAGGATTGTAGGGCTGGGAGGCCAGAGCCTCATCTGGTCCCGTGACTCTTACATGTTTTGTGCGCCCACGGCCCCCTGGCAATTCAATAAAGTTTCCGGAACTGTCCACAGAAAAACGTGCACACACACAATTTCATACTATTTGTGGAGCGTTGAGTCCCATCTGTGCGTCCCTGGGAGGCCCCTGGAGTTTTTACTGGTGAGGAAATCAAGGCCCAGGGGGGGGGGGATCACGTTAATTTGCGACCGAGTCTCGCAGTATCAGAGGCTGGGCGTCTGGCCATGGCCGGGCACACGTGCACCCCCTCTTGATGACACGCACACACAGTAGCCCTGCTGGAAGGAGACTGTTCCCAGGGAGAGCAGGCCTCTGAGGCAGATGTGTGGTGTGTAGGCAGGTCCAATCCAGTGCCGGGCAGCTGGTGCCCCGGGGCAGGGGGCTGAGATAGAGCCTCCTGCCCCCCGTTCTGAGGCTCGTT